GTCTCGCTCTTGCTCAGGCTGGTTTCGAACTCCTGAGCTCAAACAATCCGCCTGCCTCGGCCTCCCAGAGAGCTGGGATTACAGACGTGGGGGCTTGTAGTATTTTTTAAATCTCTCAATTTTTTTTTGAATTTATAAGGTTCTCAGCCGTCACCCTTGAAATATTTTTCCTGTCCGTGCTCGGTCTCACTGCTGCGGCTGCGCCTAGATATGTTTGAGTCTCCTCGCTGTAGCTCCTTACGGTGTTTCTGCCGTTGACCCTCTGAGCCTCCGTGTCTGTATTTTACCCTCCAATACTTCCCTCTTCAGTTGTGTTTAATGTACCGTCAACCCGTCTATTAGGGTCTTAATTTGTTGTTGTGTTTTTCATTTCTGGAATGTCCATTTGATTTTTTTTAAAGTAAAAGAATCTTTTACTACCCTGATGTATTAATTAAGGTATGTTAAAGTCCATGTCTGATAGCTCTATTGTCTGGTTCCCTGTGTGTCTGTTTCTGTTTTATGTTTCTTTTTCATTATTTTTCTGGTTTTTTGTTTTTGGGGGGGGGGGCATGTTTTGGCTTTGTGTAGGCTTCTCTAGTTTTAATTGTGTACTGGAAAGTGCATATGAAAAGTTCTAGGAATCTAAAGGGTTTATTTTTGCTTCTCAGGGGCAGCTAGACCAGGCTTACCAACTCCCCTAGCTGCTGTTCTACTTTCTGTCTCTAAGAATTCGACTATTCTAGATACCGCATATGACGATATTTGTCCTTTATGTCTGGCTCATGTCTTGTATCTTTTTAAGTTTTTAAAATATAATTTGCATGGGTTTCCAAAATATTTTTTATCTGGTAATTTGAATATCTGAAGCTTTTATTGTCTCGTGTTTTGTGCATTTTTACTTACATGCCTGGCTATCTTTGTGTACTGGCCATATTATTTGAATAGTTCTCTGTGGAGTTAATTTTAGCTTTGGATATGTCAACAGAAAAGAACCCAAACTTTGTATAGTAATTTAAAGAGGTTTATTCTGAGCTGAATATGTGTGACCATGGCCCGGAGAGCCACACCCCAGTAGCCTTGAGCAAGTGGTCTTGCTGTGGCTGGGTCTTGGTTTGGTTTTACACATTTCAGGGAGAGAGGAATTCCACATGGAGTCATAAATCAGTGCATGGAAGGCGTATATCTGTCTGGCTTGAAAAGGCAGTACGTCTCCACCCGGGGCTTACAGGTTATGGGTAGGTTTAAAGATTCTTTAATTTGCTGTTGGTTAAAGAAATGAAGCTTTGTCTAAAGGCTTGGAATGTTTTAAGTTAAGGAAGTCGGTGAATCAGAGACAAGCCAGTAGACATACACACTGGACATATACCGAGACTCACGTGGTCTGTTAATTGGTGACCTGCAGGTTGGTTTAACCTCTGTCTTACATGGAGTTAAGTGTGTTAATGATTTTGTATCTTATTGTTACAAAGAATTACTCCAAAAGCGACAGGGCATAACTAGGCCTGTCTGACCTCCCTTCTCCTGGGAGGCTGCAACTCCGCTTTAATTTTTGTTTTTGGGGGTCCCCTTGGCCAAGAGGGGTCCGTTCAGTCGTGGGGGTTGGGGCACCTTATGACTTTCTTGTAGTTCACAGATGAAAGACCATTTCCTCTGGGAAGATTTTGCTTCGTTTCTCCAGTTACTGGGAGAACCGCTGTCCTGGAACGTCCGCAATCCGAGTTTGAGGCCAGAGGCTCCCTGCTGGGCCACGTCTCTCATCCACTCTTTCCTTGCGGAGGTGGCCCTTGGTGGCCTGAACTAGAATCACATGCATGTCTAACAGCCTCCTGCCCACAGCCTCGAGCAGCCCCAGTCTTGCATGGTTATCAAAACCAGGTTTCCATACTTGAGAACCGGCTGTTCCTTCTAGACCAGCAGAGACCTGGCGCAGACAGGCTGTGTTCTCGCTAAGCTTGTTCCTCTTCCGAGATTCGGCCCAGTAGTTCCCTACTGTCTTGTTAACTCTCTTTGTTGCTTTGAAAACTTTTAATATAGTTCATGTGACTTTCTTATTTGGCCAGAGCAGGATTGTCACCGAAAGCTCGGCACTTGTCCTCCAGGCCGCATCAGAAGAACGAGGACAGGTGGTTGGGGAAAAGAAAGAGAGATTTATTAATTTGCCAGCAAATGAGGAAAATGATAGGCTCCCATCTAAAAGTACCAATGTTTTAATCATAAGCAGAAATACAGCTTTTCAGGAGAGGCCATTCAGCGTCAGGCAATTGCTGTTCAGCTGCAGTTGATGGTTCTGATCATCCCATCTCAGCCCCTTCTCCTGGACAGTTCCCTCCAGCCAGCTCCTGCAGCACAAAGGGCAAAGGCCATTTCTCTCCCCCACCCCCACTAGTGGGGCAAAAAGGAGTGGGGCACGTTTTAAAGAGACAGAAAGTATTTTTGCTGTTTCTTTTCTAGCCGTTCCTTCTGTTACATGTTCCCCTGTCAGGATTGCCCCCCCATGTCTATGGGAGGAGGGCGACTGCTCTGTTGCAGGATCGTTTGTTTGACGGTCACTTCCGTGGGTGGAGTTTGGAGGCGTCTTGACCTGGGTTGGGATCTTTGCTCCAGCACGACCAGCTTGTCACAGATCATGGGCAGACGACTTCTCTGGAGCTTCTTTGCTTCTGCTTTGTGACTTGGAGTTTGAGAGAAGATCGGTGATGTGTGTGTGATATTGTGATATAATAAATGTGTATTAATGTCTGGTCTCTGCCCCCAGCTCCTGACGCAGAGCTCCTACATGAATTTCCTGGGTGGTGGGAGCATCTTTGTCTAAGGAGGAGACCCCCACAACAGCTTCAGGCAGGATGCGCTGGGCCCCTGAAAGATCAGACCTTGAGCAGAAGCTTGAGCTTCCAGCCCCAGCCCAGACTCCCACCCCTGCAGGACAGGGCTGGACTCTGAGTTGCTGGAGCATAAAAATCCCTCCTCCACCCTCATCGGGTCACGGGCCTCCCCTGTGTCTGACCCGACCCAGCGTCCCTCCCAGCACAGGGCCATCCTCCAGCCGCGGGCAGCTCGCTCAGAAGCTCCTGAACTCAGAGCTGCAGGTTTCTTTTCACTCTGAAATCCTTTGACTAGAGCAGCCTTTTCGCACCCAATATTTTTAGTCAGAAAGGAAACAGTATCTCCTTCTGAATTAACGTTATTTTTATAATACATCAAAATCATTTTCCATAGTCTGCCAAGAGCGTTTCTTAACTGGTTATCATTGTAGAATTTTAGCCATTCTGGGAATTCTGCAAACATCACGGCAAACCAGTGATGAGGGTCTTGAACCCACCCTCACGTTGTAGGAAAAGACCATCTCCAGATCTGCTTTGGGATAGTACTTGAAATGCAGTTTGCTTTTGTAGTTTGTGCTTAATAACCTTTTGTATCTGCCCATTTAGTTCCTCTCCTTTGCATGTCAAACACCAGCTGAAGTTCGTTAAACTCAGCTCCTGGTACTTGACACCTTGACCTGAGCAGTCCCCTCCCCAGGGGGATCTGGGGGCCCTGGTGGAGGTGGTGGGATCACAGCCCCCACTGGCATAACACTTCTGGGCTTGTTATGAAAATATCCCGTCGCTTTTCATGTGCAATAAAGACCTTTTCATTCTCCCATCTTTCGGCAAGTTTTTTCCTCTTTCAAAATGGTCTTGGAGAACAAGGAGCTTATTTATAATCAACAGAGTCACTGTACATTCTGCATAGTTTGAGTACCTGCTTTGCTGTTCATTTTTTGGCTTGAATGTTTGCTCACTGCCTCCATCCTTGAATTTCTCAGCTTTTTGGTCAGTATGTTAATGTCTCCAGCTCTGCGGGATGGTGCAAACTTCTCCCCAAACAACGGCGCAGCCAGCAGGGTGGATGATCTTGCTCTGCACTCTCTGTCCCCTGTGGGGCCATCAGGGTGTTTTATCTCCCCACTCGTCCGCCGGACACCCTCTCGTCTCCAGGGCCTGGGCAGGGCTCTTGCTGGTTCCGCGGTTGGGCTGTCCGTCTTTTCTTGCTCGTTTGTGGAAGTTGCTTTCTCTGAGCCTAAAACGTGTTCTTCACCGTAGGACGACGTGATGATGTCTCAGAGGGTGAGGCTGCAACACGAAGCTGCCATCCAGCACCCGACGAGCGTAAGTCCTCACCTCCTCCCCTGTGTTGTCGCCTGTTGATGAAATGACCACGGTGGTCTTTTAAATGATGGCTTTTCCTTAGGGTGAAAGGAATCAGTGCCTGGGAAGACTGCCACAGCACAGAGAGTGATTTGTGGCCGGTATAACACTTGAGTGGGAGGAAAACATGCTTCTCGTTTTGCATAGCATTTGTTTATTCAGATGGGTACAGAGGAGTTCGTCTGTTTTTAATCTGCATTTTTGAAGCAGAGTACCTTAGACATGAAAACACAGGTTGAGAGCTGTAGTGTGTCAGTAGTTTAAAAAAATTCTTTTTCTTATTTAGCTAACCTCAAATTACGGTTCTCATCTTTAGAATAGTATCCCGGCTCCTCCCTGAGCATGCCGGAGGGTGTTTTCCTCAACAGCCCCCCCCCAGTCCCTCCCTGCAGGTGGGAGCTGCAGTCCCTGGGCTGGCGCCAGCCACCCCACAGCTCCTGCCAGCTGAGGACTTGCCACTGAAGTTGTAGAAGAAACCTTTGAGTTACGATGGGGATCCCCTGGTTTCAGACACTGGAAAATCCATGACCCAGCCCAACGCCGTGGTGTCCACGCAGGTATGGCTACTGCCCATCCTGCAGACAGCCCCCAGCCACGCCTCCGAGTGGGGTGTGACATCCACGCGTGCAATCACTGCGGGTCTAGTCACGGCTGGTCCAGTCATGGCGTGGTCCTGTCATGGTGGGTCTGATCACAGCAGATCCGGTCCCACACGGCGTCAGAAGCCCGGCTGCCCATGCAGCAGACACCCCGGCGGGTTCACTGTGTGGTTTCCAGCAGAAGTAGCTAGTGAGACGCAGGTCCTTGAGGTGGAACTTCTCCAGGGGTGTGAGGACTTCTCCTCCAGGACGATTCATTTCTCTATCAATAGGCTTTGTTTTGGGCACTCTGAATTCAACCTAATTATTTTCTGCTTTTAAGAAATCTAGCCCCTGTTCTTCCTCCAGCTTCCCAGCCCCCACATACACAAACCTCCTAGAACTTGGACGTTCAAGATCACGCGCCTCCCTCAGGGTTATGGCTGCCTTCCTTCTGTGAGGAGGCCACATCTCATTTCCAGTGAGGTGCAGGAAGCTCATCCCTGGACTGGGGTTGTCTGGGGAGAGTGGGGCCTGTGTGGGGGAGGGGGCATCAGGAAGGCGGGGGCTGTGGGGGACGTTGCCAGCTGCATGGGGGGGTGTGTCTCAGGTGTGTGTCTCAGGTGTATGGCTCAGGTTGTGTGTCTCAGGCGGGTGTCTCAGGTGTGTGTCTCAGGTGGTGGGTGTCTCAGGTTGGGCATCTCAGGTGGTGGGTGTCTGAGGTTGTGTGTCTCAGGTTGTGTGTCTCAGGTGTGTGTCTCAGGTTGTGTGTCTCAGGTTGTGTGTCTCAGACTTGTGTCTTAAGTGTGTGTCTCAGGTGGTGGGTGTCTCAGGTTGGGCATCTAAGGTGGTGGGTGTCTCAGGTTGTGTGTCTCAGGTGGGTGTCTCAGGTTGTGAGTCTCAGGTGGGTATCTTAGGTGGGCATCTCAGGTGTGTCAGGTGTGCAAACACAGACAGGAAACAGACTGAGACCCAGGCGACCTTCTCAGGAGCAGAGGGGTCCACATGCTGCCTCTGTCATGCTGTGCAGGGTCCTGGAGGCTCGGTGGCCCCGTGGTGTCTGTGGGGGCTTATGTGGGGGGCATGTTTCAGCGGGCAGGGGAGGGTCTGCGGTTTGCACCAGATTCTCAATAGGGTCAAGACACAACCAAGTTTGGGAACCACAAATATGCATAAATGTGTATATTCACAGCGGTTGGTTACCACAGACTCCAGAAGTTGGTTTTTAAAAGTTTACCCTCCTAGGATATCTCATTTCTTACCCCTACTAGTTGGAGAAGATGTCAGCAAACGTCCCCGTGCGTGTGGGGACAGCGAGTGCTGTTACGGCACTCTGAGGCCACCAGTTGCCCGGGGGGGTTCTGCCCTGGCCTCCAGGGTGCCGGTGGACTTCTCGGTCCCATGAAGAGAGAGGTTGGGTGCACAAACTGTATATATTTTTTGGTCTGGTTCCTCTGTTGGGAAGAGGGGAAAAATGGGGAAAAAGTCTTTCAGGATGGATTTCTGTGTATAGTTTATGTAAGAAAATGCAGAGACTGGGATTTCCAGAAATTTCTTTCACTGGCTCCGGGAGGTGTGATAATGCTACTTACGGAAGTTAGGGAGGGACCAGGTATTGGAAATGCGTTGGCCTGTCCTTAGGAGTGCGCAATCCTGCGAGAGCCTTTCCCAAGTCCCCGGAGTGGGAAATGGGCGTCCGTGTAACGGGGCTGGTCGTTACCAGGTTTTCATTCCGCGTGATTTTTTTTTTTTTTTTTTTTTTTGAGACAGAGTCTCACTGTGTTGCCCGGGCTAGAGTGCCGTGGTGTCATCCTAGCTCACAGCAACCTCAAACTCCTGGGCTCAAGCGATCCTCCTGCCTCAGCATTTTTAGTTGTCCGATTAATTTCTTTCTATTTTTAGTAGAGACGGGGTCTCGCTCTTGCTCAGGCTGGTTTCGAACTCCTGAGCTCAAACAATCTGCCTGCTTCGGCCTCCCAGAGGGCTAGGATTACAGGCGTGAGCCACCACGCCCAGCCGTTCCGCGTGATTTTTGCACAGCTGGAGGTGACAGTCTCCAAGTATACACTGAAAACTTACAAAGAATTTCGTAATGAATGTTGACATTTTAGAGAATGAGGCATTTTCAGATGTTTTCATTTCCATGTCTTTTATTTCCATACTGAAAAAAATGAAAGAATTGGCTTCATGAATGAAGTTGCTCTTGGCCGTTCTCCACGGCATAGGTTCAAATGAACTGTGATATTTAGGATACTCAGGAATTTGGAAAAAATGCAAACTGTGTCAGTTTGTCTTAAATTCTTAATAAACCAATCTTGATTTTCGTTTTTATAGTTTTTTTTAAAGTTCTAGGTTATAGAACTTCAAAACCTTCTGATTAAATTCTTTCTAGATAGTCTGCTCCAACATTCAGGAGAGAAATGTTCTCTTGGGAGCCACATTTTTCTCCCAACCCTACAGACACACGGAGTATTCCAGCTATTTCTCCTACACGGAGACTCTTCTGCATGAAAATCAGGGATGCCAGAATAACTTGGTTGCACTAAAACAAAGTCAGCTCTAGCAAGGTCATCATTGTGTGGCTGGATTTGTTTTTAAATCATGACCTATAAAAGTCTTAATTTGCAGTTGCCAGTTGGTGGTTATGTCAGTTATATTGTAGAGTTTGTTTTGAAAGAATGAAATTAATGCTGAGTGCACACTCGTACTTGGTCATTATTTTTTAAGGCCATTTACAAAAAACCATTTAATTGGGAAGGCAAGACCTTTGATGACAGTTTTCATAAATTGTGCAGGAGGGCGGGTGCTCCACCTGTACGTACAGCCTCATCACCCTCTTCCACCTCGGAGGGCGGGTGCTCCGCCTGTACGTACAGCCTCACCACCCTCGTCTACCAGGGAAGGTGGGTGCTCCACCTGTATGTACAGCCTCACTGCCCTCCTCCACCCCGGGAGGGCGGGTGCTCTGCCTGTACGTACAAACTCACGGACTCCTGTCCAGGGGGATGGATCACACAGAGAGGTTATAAGAAGTGAAGAGCAGGACCTTCCTGGGGTGAAGCGAAAGAACAAAGGAAAGGTTTTGTGTTAGGTGAACAGTAACTCACAGCTCGCTGGTTGCAGAAGTTTGGGGTGGCCCTGCTGTGCCCCCCAGCTCAGGGCTGCAGGCGACCCATCCCCGTGTGCCGAACCGTTATCATCTGGGCAGCTGTGTCAGCCGGCTGTGTCCCCCGCTCTGTTCCTGCCCCTGCAGGAACTGTGTGTTAATTTAAATAAACAAGACTTTGAGACGTTCTGTTCAAATACAGTCTGTGTGTCATTCTGCAGGGCAACAAATACAGTCTGTGTGTCATTCTGCAGGGCAAGACCAGAGCGTCAGCCAAGCGCTCACGGCTGCTCTGTGCACATAGCCGGGGGAGGGGGTGATTTCCCAAGCAGGCCGGGGTGCAGGAGTGTCACAGCAGCCCTTGGAGGGGTAGAAGCTGTCAGAGGGATTCAGTCTTGCCTCTTTAGGGATTGCAGTGGGTGATGGGTGTGAGCTGTGTTCTGACAGTGTCCTTAGTTCTTGGGGGCAGGCATGACGGGGCCACGTCAAGACAGGGTGACACAGGGTCCCTTGTGGTTGTAGTCCAGGTTGTGGTCCCTGGAGGGCCGCCGGTGCAGGGGAGGCGCTCACTCCTCTCTCCCCATCACCTGTTCCAGAATGGCAGCTGGAGCCCCAAGAGGTGACCCTGCACATGTGGGCTCGGCGGGGAGCGCAGTAGGGGGGGCGACCGGTGTGCCTGGTGGTCAGAGGACCTCCTGATGCGTCCTGGGGCCCCCTGGAGCACCCCACACCAGGGGTTACCCTAAGGCAGAGGGCAGCAGGTTGTTTGGTTCAAACCAGCAGCCCAGAGGAGTTAATATTAGTGTCAAAAATACAACTGTTTTCGTTTTTTTCCCTTCAGTAGTTTTCGAGCTGAAGTCTCTGTTCCTGAGAGGCAGCTTTCTGGGAATGAACACCCTTCCTGGGCCTTAATCGTCAGTAATCCTTTCCTCCACTGTCGGCCGTCTCCGTTCTTCTCTCGCGTGTGGGAGCCAGTGCCAGGACGCTGGCCTGGCCTGCAGACTCTACTCAGAATTGACTGAGACGCATTTTAATCTTCTGCCCTTTGGAGGTCGGGCCCTGTGGCTGCCTTTAGGACTCTCCCTGCCCTGGTCTGTTCTCCCAGAGCCCACCCTGCCAGGGTCCCCTCAGCCCCTGCCGCCTGACCTTCCCGGCCGCGACCTTCAGAGTCAGAGTCCCAGGGCTGTGCGGCGTGGTGGGGCAGGGCGCACTTGGTGGGTCTGCGTTCTTTCTGCGGGGCGCGGCGTGGCTCTGCCTGCCGTGGGCCTCAGCTGGACACGCTGGACAGCAGGGCCCGACCACGGGGAGGCTTGTGCGTGCCCACGGCCGTGGCGGGCCGGCGTCCTCACAGCACGGTGGCTTTTCCAAGAATAGGAGTCCCAGGAGAACCTACCGGGAGCTGTGTCGCTTATTACCGAGCGTCAAACACAGTGTCACCCTGACCCCCGATGGCAGTGTGAGAAAAGCAGCAGGATGGAGGTGTGACGACTTGGGGAAGCGCAGTCCGCCGCGTCTCCGTGGCCCCCCTCTCCGCTCCTTTCCGTGCTCTGACCGTCAGTTTTTCCAGTCGAGCTGCCAGAGCGTGGTGGTCCCCACACAAACGCAGAAGGAGCTTTGAGGTTCTCTGGCGGGGAGGGTCGGCTCCAGTAACCTGCACTTTCCGCTGCCTGTCGGCACAGTGCTTTCCTGCAGATCAGCCGGCAAAGCCTCTGCAGAGCCGTAACCTAGGGGCTGCTTCCAGGAGTTCGGAAGAAGCCGGTTGGACTCCTGAGCTGGCACAGCCCTTTGTTCAGCCTCTGCCTGCCAAGCGCCCGGTGTACCAGGCCCTGCCAGGTTCAGGTTCACAGAGGTTCCGGCCTGAGTGTCTCAAGTCTCTGGTGGATGGACCATGCAGCGTGCGCCGCCGAGGTGCCGCCTCCTACAGAGGAGGACAAGGTTGGCGTCGTGGGCGGGGCACCATGTGCCTGACGGAGGAGTGGCTGACGTCTCTGGGGAGCCCACATCCTCCAGGGGAGAGCCTGGCGCCTTCTGCAGAAGGAAAGGGTTTGAGCGTGTCTGGGCCAGCGGAGGGGCTCTCCCTTTGCCACACCGGTGCGCGCGACTCGCGGTGGGTTAAAGTCTCGGAGTCGCCAGGCCCAGGAGCTCTGGTTTCACAGGGTCCCCCACCCTCCGTCTTGCCGTGAGACCCCACCCAGCGCGGTTCCTGCTTTCTCCCGCAGCGTGGAGCGGAGCAGGTTTGAGGGGAGGGCTCGGCATCAGCACTGACCGGGTCCTGCCGGGGAGGAGCCTTGTGCTTTGCTGGAAGCGCAGCTCTCAGGAGCGCTGGCGCGAGCTGGAGCCATCTGTCCCCCGCGGCAGCTGCTCACCCCCAGGCCATCGCGGCTCTCGGGGTGTCGTTTGTGTAGACGAGCTAAGCGTGTCCGCAGGGAATACCCTCAAAACAGGCTGTTGATCAACATTTTTCTTTTTTTCTCAAAATCTGTTCTGTTGAGCAAGGACACGCAAGCCAGTGTGGACAAGACCAGAAAACAGATGCGGATGATTTGTGTCTCGGTCAGACCCGGTGTGGGGATCCTCGCTGAGCAGGGCGGTGGGCTGGGAGCCGTCCTGGTTTGCAGCTGGCTTCAGGACAGAGAAAATTCACAGACGGAATCAGCAACATGTAGAAAACCACAGCCGTGGTCAAGCGTGTTTTATTCCAGTGAGACGACGGGCAAAAGGCATAAAAAGACATTTCACCGAAGAAGATCCCCAGACGGCGAGTAACCGCGAGAGGAGGCTCACCACCGGCTGGCCGTCGCGGCAACGCACGTTCTCCCGTAGCGGGAGGGTGCTGGGAGGGCGCCGCGCCAAATGCCGGTGAGAACGTGGAGAAACTTTGCTCCTCGCGCGTTGCTGGGGACGAGAAACGGTTTGGCTGCTCTGGAGACAGCTTGGCAGTTTCTTAGAAGCTAACCATGTTCAGCCCAGAGGAATGAAAACTTGCGCTCACATGCACATCTGCGCACAGACGTGTGCGGCAGATTGACTGTAACAGCGCCAGGCTGGGAACAGCCCAGATATCCTTCGGTGGGGAGACGGTTAGACTGCAGTACGTCCATTCTGTGGGATATTTTTCAGCCAAAATAGGAGCATCCGTTACGCACGGCAGCCTGGATGGCTCCAAGAGTCGGGGTGGCACAGAAGCCCGCCTCAGAAAGCCGCACACCACGTTCCCAGCCGTACAGCATTCCGGGAAGGACGGGGTCGCGGCGTCGGAATGACAGGTTGTGGATGTGACGGGCACCGTGAGGTCCTCGTGGCAGGGTGCCCTGAGCCCTTCCTGGGGCGCCGTGGACCTGTGCGACCCAGTGTTACCGTAAAGAGGAGACAGGGCAAAGGTACAGGGGTCTCTGAATTTCTCTTACCACTGCTTGTGAATCCACAGTTTTCTCAAAATATTAATAAAAAGTTTAATTAGAAAAACCCAACAGCGAAAAAATGCAAGCACACAGAAGTATCCCACTCTTCGTTACTGCAACTGCATTAACACACACCAATCACTCACTGCATTTAAATGCTGCATCTGTTAGGGCGAGATTTGGGAAACCAGCTACCTGGGTGTAGCTGGGTCACTTCTTGGCAAGGAGACGTGCTCACGGGTGCTCTCGTGAGCCACTCTCACATTCCCTGCCGCTCGGCGAGGGGGCCTGGGCCCGTGCTGCGAGAGTGTCCGCTCAGCGGGCTCTGGGCAGCCCTGGCCGTCCCTGGGGTGGGCTCTGTTGCCTACTGACACCCTCAGGTGCCCTCTCTCCAGTTGTTGGGAGAAGTGCTTGGCTGCTCCATAACTGGCTGGTTCCTGCCTTTATAGCTGGTGTCCGAGCATGACCTCTGATGTCTGCACGGGTGCAAACTCCTGTCCAGGCCTCAGACTGTCTGCAGGACCTGACCTCTCACCTCTGAGCATCTTAGAGATGTTTAGACACACCGCAGGAATATCCTACAGCTAAGGGTGCAGGTGGTTTATCCACACTTCGGGGTGCCGTGGCAGGCGGGGCAGGAGCAGAACGGGGCCAGGGGCTAGTGCAGGGGCACAGGTGAGAGCGGAAGGGGCAGTGAGAGGGCCGTGCCCACAGCAAGGGGAGGCAGGGGCCGGGGCTGAGGGCGGAAGGGGGTGGCGGAGGAGTCTGGTGAGCTTGTGTGAGGCCACACGGGGAATGGAGGAGGCAGAGGGGTCTGCTGCATCACTGGCTGGACATCTGGGGGGTGCCTGTCTGGTGGCCCAGGGAGAGGAGGCTCCGGGCCGCCCCTTGGTGGCTGTGCTCCCAGCAGGAGTCCCCTTTATCTGGGGTCAGGGCTTTCCGGAGGATGAATCGAGTGTGCGCAGACTTGCTGCCCAAGGCCATGGCGGCGGTTTGCTGGCACCTACTTTGAGTGATGGCTCAAGAAGTCAGTTATTGAAAGTGACACTTGGATGTTTTGACTGTGTACGTGGGTTATTCTAATTGCAGGGCATTGGGGAGGAAATGTTACATGTGATGTTCTTAATCCAGCCAAGGGCAGCGTTAGCTGTTCACTGCTGAGACGCTATTCAAGACCACCTGGTGTGGGGTCCAGCACACAGAGCTCCTGCCTGTCCCTGGGCTGGAACAAGAGCCCTTCCCCTCTCCTCCCCTTCCTCCCCTTCCTTCCCCTTTCCTCCCTTTCCCTCCCCTCTCCTCCCCTTCCCTCCCCTTCCCTCTCCTCCCCTTCCCTCCCCTTCCCTCCCCTCTCCTCCCCTTCCCTCCCCTTCCCTCCCCCTTCTTCCTCCTTCCTTCTCCTTCCCTCCCCCTTTCTCCTCCTTCCCTCCCCTTTCTTCCCCTGGACTCCAGGAGTTGTGCCCAACCTGACCCAGATTTTATGGATCGCAGTTGGTTTCCACTCTGGACCTGAACACTCAGAATAGTGTGGGATGTATGTAGACAGGTGCACACACCTGCTCACGTGGCCTTCTCTCAAGTTCTGTTGGTTCTCACAGATCATAGGCTGCCAGGTGAGGAGAGACCCCCCTGATTCCACTGGACGGTACACACGTTGGATCAACCAGCTGACGCCCGACCAGCTTCTGACCCAGGTACGTCTCGGGACCTCCTTTGTCCTTGTCTGCGTCACAGAACGGCAGGTTCAGGGCCCTCTCTGGGGGCTGTCTTCCCGCTTCGTGTCTGTTGTTTGCCGTTTGGACGTCGCCACGAGACGAGGTCTGTGTCCTCAAGGCCATCCGCGCACTGTCGGTGGGCCGGCGTGAGTGCGGGCAGCCGGAGGGAAACACTCTCGCCAGCCGTGTCACGACCCGACGGCGGATTTCAGTTCTGACCAAGAAACCGTGTTGCCTCGGAGTGCTGGAGGGAGCGCTCAGAAACCCCATGGCAGCATTTCAGAGTCTCCACATAGGTGTCCCCGACATGTTCTACAGAGCCAGGGCCCACACACACGGTGTGGACAGCAGGGTGGCCCCGGTGGGGGACGTGTTGCCATGAGACTAGACATGGGCAGCCAGCGGCGGCTGCCTCGGGCGTGAGCAGCCCTGTTCTGGAAGAGGAGGCAGAGACCGTGTCGTTGCTATGCCGTGACAAGTTAGGGCCGAGGTCGGGCGTCGCCGTGGTTTCCTGGCCGCGTGTTCCGGGTTGTCAGGCTGCATGCTGTGAACATAGGGAGGTACTTTTCAGTGAACTCATGAACACACTTAGAACAGGACACTCGGCAGACCGTGGCTGCTTTTCTAAGTAATGTGTGCCTGTGCGTGCTGGAGAGCCACGTCCCACCTCGGTGCCGCGAGCCGGTGCCACTAGCTGGTGCTGCGCTGAAGTGAGCTGGGCACGCGTCTGGCTTCAGAACGGCTCCAGCAGCATCAAAAGCCTTTCACCAGGAGTGATTTTCACGGGAGGCCACAGCAGCCAAATGCCTGGTGTAGGTTCAGAATCTCTCCCTGGGGGGTTAGGTTTTGTGCCCACGGAAAATTGTGTTTTTCTTTTGATGTTTCTTAATAAAAATAAATGAATGTTCTTTTATCAGTTGCATAGCTGCATCCCCTTAGAATAATTTTTAAATAACTTTATTGTGTTTGTAAACGTTATGCTTGACTGTTCCATAAAGAAATTCAAACAATAGGCCAGGCGCGGTGGCTCACACCTGTAATCCTAGCACTCTGGGAGGCTGAGGCGGGCGGATTGTTTGAGCTCAGGAGTTCGAGACCAGCCTAAGCAAGAGCGAGACCCCACCTCTACTAAAATTAGAAAGAAATTAATTGGACAACTAAAAATATATAGAAATAAAATTAGCCAGGCATGGTGGCGCGTGCCTGTAGTCCCAGCTACTCGGGAGGCTGAGGCAGAAGGATCACTTGAGCCCAGGAGTTTGAGGTTGCTGTGAGCTAGGCTGACGCCACAGCACTCACTCTAGCCCGGGCAAAAGAGTGAGACTCTTTGTCAAAAAAAAAAAAAAGAAATTCAAGCAATATAAAAAATGACGAAGAAAAAGGTGTGTTGCTCAAAACTCAGCACTGGGTCCTTCCAGTCCTTTCTCTGTGTGCAGATCACCTGAGCCCATCACCGTAGACTGGTCTGCGTTGGAGTCTGGCACCGGGAAGGACACGTACGCCGGCTGTGAAGATGCCAACGTCCTCCACCCTGGAACCTCCCCCCCCTTCTCTGTTTCCTTATAGGAGGTCCATGCAGTGCGATTGTTCATTCATCTCTTTAAATCTGTAGGTTCCCTCGTCATCTTTTTCTTTTTCCTTGAAACACTTCGTTGAAGATGTTGGGTGATTTGGCCACGAATGCTTTCGACAGGGAGACTTTTGCTGATGGCATCTCCCTGATCTTGTTTAACAAATCACTCTGTCCCTAAATCTCCTATAAATTCATCCTTAGATCCAGAGACTTTGTGGGATTTCTAGTTACGTGTTCATTTGTCATGTGTTTGAAGAGCTTTATTGACGTGTAACTGACATATGATGAGTATCACCTATTTCAGATGCAGGATTTGATGGGTTTTGACGCGTGTGTACTCGTGAACCGCCCACCACCATCAGGATAATGAACATACTCGTGACCCAAGTTTCCCCTTCCCCCCGATGCCAAGCAACCACCGATCCACTTTCTCCCTTCCGAGGAATTTTATATACATGGGATCTTATGGAAGATACTTTTTGGTCTGGTTGCTTTTAGTCAACATAACTACCTTGGGATTCATCTGTGTTGTGTGTTCACAACAATCGTCCCTTTGTTTTTATTACTGAATAGCACAGTTGACTTTTGGACAACACCGGTTTGAACTGCATGTGTCCGTTTATATATATGTGGATTTTTTTTTCAATAAATATACTGGAAAATTGTTTTGGAGATTTATAATAATGTCAACGAACCCTCAAGAGGGGTCCCCTCTGTTGCTTGCCACACAGAATGCCAGTTACTGAGAGCAGGATTGTCAAGGAAGAAAGGAGATTTATTGCGGAGGGCGCCAACCAGGAGGTAGGAGGACTGCCTCAAACCCGCCCCCCCAAGTGGTGGGGTCAGGGGTTTTTCTGGAGGTGAAATGAATAATGTATGAAATGAGTGAGCATCATTGCGTGTTTGGGACAGAGTGCAGGGCACACAAGTGCACTGAGAAATCACGCTAGCACATACGTCGTGTGATGAGTCCCTCCCGGGGTGGAGCTTTCAGTAATATAACGAGCTGGGGCTCGTACTGGTCATTCTCGTGGTCTCGTGCACACGTGGGACGTGGGCAGCAGGTTGCTCAGCGCGTCCTTGGTCACAGTCTGTGGTGCAGTGTCCCTTCCTGAGTCTTCCAGCTGGTGAGCACCAGGTGGGGCGACGCCTTGTGCTCACCTTGTGGCCGCAAGAAGACTCTGCCATTTCTGGGGGGAAAAAACTCAAAAGGGAATGGACCAGTGAAACAGAAAATTACAAAGTTCTGCTCAGCAAACCTCACTGGCCTGGGAACTTGAAACATAAGAGAACTACAAAAAAGCGTTTTTATTCATGGAGCTGGTTACAACATTTTGAAAAAAACTCGCAAACCGAGTAGCCCAAAAATATTTAAAATTAAGAAAAAGTTAGGTGTGTCGTGAATGCACAAAATATATGTAGATACTAGTCTGTTTTATCACTTACTGCCGTAAAATATATACACATCTGTCATGAAAAGTTAAAACTTACACACACGCAGACCGTACGTGGCACCGTTCTCGGTTGAGAGAAATGTAAACAAACACGAAGACGTAGTGTTGAGTCACAGCTGCATAAAACGAGCACACACCACACCACATGATCATTCCATAGCCGCCTCCTGCTGCCCCTGCAGTGAGCTCGAGTCTCATGTATTCACTTCAAAACTCAGCGTGACGTGACGCCAATCGTCTCCATGTACCGTCTCTAGTAAATAGACATCACAGTAAAAGGGATCTCTCAGTTCTCAGAGGGTTTTTGCCGTGCGCAGTGCGGTGCCGTAAACCGAGTAGCACTGTGGGACCCGCAGGAGGAGCCGGCAGTGATGCCGGAAGTGCTCCAGGGAAGCAGAGAAAAGTCCGTGGCATTAGAGGAACAGTCGCATTGCTCGGTGACGACCGTAGATCGAGTCGGCAGCCGTGGTTGCCACATCTCAGAGATTCATCTCGCAAACAGATGATGTAAACGTACAGTATCGATAAGTACAGTACCGTGCTGTAAACCTGTTTTCTCTTCCCTGTGACTTTTCTCTGGCGTGCTGTGTTGCAAGAATACGGCGTATGACGCATACAACATACAAAATATGTGCTAATTGACTATCGATGTTGTCGATAAGGCCTCCGGTCAACAGTAAGCTGTTAGTTAAGTTTTTAGGGAGTTAAAAGTTATACTCAGACCTTTAACTGCATGGGGGGTTGGCACGCCAGCCCCCGCGCTGTTCAGGGGTCAGCTGTGTTCTGTGGGATGGATGTTTAACCATTAGTTTGTCCATACTACTGTTGAGCATTTGGGTTGTTTCAGCTCTCAGCTATTACACATAAAGCTGCAGTGAACACTCGTGTGCAGGCCTTTGTACACACATGAGAACATGCGTAATGCACAGCCTGTTCTCTTGGGAAAACAGCAGCGAAAAGGACTGGTTCATATAGCAGCTATATTTTTAAATTTGTAAGAAAATGTTTAACTTTTTAAGTATTTTCCAAATTGGCTGTACCATTTTGCATTCTGGAGCAGTGTCTGGGAGTCCGGGTCCTCCGCATCCTTGACAAGACTGGACATGATCAGTCTTGTCCAGTTAATCTAATAGATATAAAGAGTATTTCCTGTGGTTTTAATTTGCATTTCTCCAACGACCAATAATGTTGAGCATCTTTTCACGGGCTTATTTGCCATCCATGTGTCTTCTTTGATACAGTGTCTGCTCAAATCCTTTGCCCATCATTTTGTTGAGTTGTTTGCATTCTTATTGTTGAATTTGGGAAACTATTTATATGTTTTGGACACAAGTCTTTTATCAGATATAGGCTTTGCGGATATTTTTTCTGAGTCTGTGGCTTGTCTTTCATTCTTTTAATAATGAAGTTTTAAATTTTGGTGGAACCACTTTATCAATTTTCCTTTTTTGGATTGTGCTTTTGGTGTTGTATTTAAGAAATCTTTGGTTAGTCAAGTTCACGAAGGTTTTCTCCTATTTTTTCTTCTAAAACTTGTATCGTTTTGGGTTTTACATGTAGGTCTACAATCTTTTTTTTTTTTTTTTTTTTAATTAGTCTTGGTATACGGTCTGGGTGGCTATCTTAATTAGCTCGGGCTGCCATAACAAAATGCGGTAGACTAGGTGGCTTAAACAACAGAAATATATTTTCTCACAGTTCTGGAAGCTGGAAAGTCCGAAATCAGGGTACGGCAGGGTTTGCTTTTTGGTGGGGCCTCTTCCTGGCTTGCCAGTGGCCCCGTCTTGCTGTCCTCGCGTGGTGGAGTTGGAGAGGGAGCAGGCTCTGGGCGTCTCTTCCGGTAAAGACACTAAGTCCACAGTACGGGCCCCACCCGCATGACCTCATCTAACCCTAATCACCTCCCAAAGGCCCCGTCTCCAGATACATCAAACAGGGGTTAGGGCTTCAGC